CTCAGAGCTGGAAAAGTCCCCGTCGCCGATCTTGGAGGACTAGCGGACGGCATTGGATCGGACCAATCTAAGCCCAGCAAGCCCACAGGGTTCCCTATATTTTCCCTCAAAGCATCGAACCCACCGTAAAAAAAAAAAGAAAACAAAGAAGCCGAACAGCTGTTTCAAACCACAAAACAACGGGCACCTGGCCCAGGGAACGAGTTAGTTTCATCCTTCAGATGTTCAACCGACTTGCAGAGTAACACGGACCCCGAAACCTACCCCATGCCTGGTAGAACTAGGGAACCACTTCCTTCTGGGGTTGACTAGACTTTTCTTCAAGGGCCAATCATTAGGACCCTCCGACCCACAAAAATGGTGCTCAGAACCCTTCTGAACCACCCAAAATGGTTCTAGGATTTGCTAGGAATCTTTCCCGGGATTGGGGGGAGGGCCTTTGCCTTTCTCCCTAGTTCTAGTGGGTGCCGAACCCACTAAGCAAAAGGGAAGAAGCCTTCAACAGCTGGCTAAGGATCTGTCTTTGTGGGGAAGCTATCAACATGAGGCCCAACGGATCGAACTCAAAAGCGTGAATCTGACTTGTTAGCTGGTTGAAAGGGATTCATGTCTACCATAAGGTAGTTCCCTATCGAAATTCATGGCAAATTGGTACAGGATTGAATCTAAAATCAATATACAAAGGATCCCAGAAAAGGGAACCGGTCCCGGAACCCAGGTGGGTCTGACGTCTCTCGCTGGTTCTTGACAGGAATCAACCGGGGAGTTGGCATGCAATCCCCGAAAAGGAAACACCAGGATGAATCGGTTTGGTGTCATCCCAACCTCGTTCCATCGAACCATCAAATGGGTTTCGTAAGATTCAGACTTGGGTTGCAGGCTACGAGAGAATTGGGTATGTGTCAACATACAGGAACCCAACCCCAAAAAAAATACGGGCTTCTGATTGCTTTCGGTTCCTGTGCAGTTCCCTCCTTCCCTGGCCTTGTTGCTGCAGAGGAGGTACTTGCCCAGGTTCAAGGACGGAAGCCTTGGAGCAGGCAGGTGTTGGCTTCCATTTGCTTGCGCTGCTTCCCCATGTTTAGAGGGGTAAAAGTAGAAACACCCTCCCATGAAGTATTGAGCTTCCCTGGATGGCAAAAACCATGACCCTAAATGGGTTCGAACCAACTTGTTCTAGGCTACACACATGATCCTCTGGTGCAAGCTGGCCTCCGTTTCTTCGAGCATGTTGCCGGGGGGTGGGTCGGATCATTCTGCGAATCTGAAGGGAACTTTTTTCAGAGGGGGGGGATTTCAATCCAGCTGGCTTGTCCTTTCATTCCTTGGAACCTGACCGGGGTGTGTGTCGGAAGGCAATTTCGAGGTGGACTTGAGAGTGACAGCTTCAAGTGCCGGTAAGTCACCCCTGCCAGGATCACCTTGGACCAAGGTGCAGTCTACCACCCCAAGGGGAAATCTACAGAGGAATCGAGTGCAGAGAATTAAACCCCCAGTGTGCCAGAACCATCTGCAGATAGTTCAATAGTTCCCAAACCCGAAATACAAATTGGATCCCCAAGTAAATGCCCGTCCATGGGGTATTTCGCTTGTTTTACCCGCTCGGTGGAATCACTGGAATCCCCTAAGACAGAACCATTCCAGGTGTTCCCCTATCTCGATGCCATGGGGAGCCAATTTGTTTAAGCCCCTTGGAAAACATTAGACAAATACCTACTTCCAGTAGTGATAGATTCCCTTCAAACGAAGCAGGGGAACATCACAGCCTATTCTCTTTGTTGTTGTTTTCTGTTTCTGGCGATCAGAGCGTCCTATGTGCCTGCCTCAACGGGCTATGCCCGATGTAAATCGGGGCCGGTTTCCCCATCGCCAACTAGGCTTAAGCAAATGGAAGCAAATGCAAAACACTAAAATACACGACTCTGGGGCGTCAGCTTGTCCAGCATCAGGAAGCCCTTGGGGATGATGAACAAGGCCAGCACCTGAGAGCAAATCGGCAGGTAAGGACCTCGTCTCTGGGGGTGTTGGTTTTTGGAGGGACCTGTTTCACCTGGGTTTGCGGGAAAACCGCGTCTATACGGTGAAAGTGTGCTCAAAACCATTGGTTTTCGGGTTTGCTTCGTGTTCCGCCCATGAGACTGTGGGTTTTACGTCGTTTGATTCACTCTATGAGTTCCATTAATCCCAAGCTACCAAAACCCAGGGGTAAAGCTAGTACAACAGGGTATATGCTCCCCGTTTCCGCCTACAAGTGTCTTGCGGGTACTGGAAAATCATGTAAGATTCTCTCGCTGGAATCAAGGAAAACTCTCTTAGGCTGCCTTGTAAATACCCTGAAGAGACTGCCCCTTGCCCTATGTTCATCTGCCTAAGCGGAGACTCAACTCTTTCACACAGAACTTGTGAACAAACTTAAATTGCTGCTCCCGCATCGCTATGGTTGGTACATCAACCGGTCTGAGACGAGCATCTAACCAGAGAAAAAGAGGAAACAAGCAAAAGGCCCCGAGCCCTGTCGCTGTTGCAAGTTTTGCTGGTTGGTGGGGAAACACACATGATCCGCAAAAGCTCAAGGTCAAAGCTCCAGCACCGCAGCCAAAACACATGCGCTATCTTCTAGCGGAACTTGGAAGAATCCCCCGAGCAAACCGCTTTCCCGCAATGAAAATAAAACCGGGAAGCTTTGCCGAAAGGAAGGCGCGCTATGGCGCACCTCCCACTACTTCCATGCTTGTCAGATTTCTGGGCATCCAGTGGCCCGGACATGTCCGACCCGCTTTCTCACGAGATTCGGCTAGCCGAATCGCGGCCTTTCGGCCATGAGCTTCTCATGGCTCTTGCTGCTCTGAATCTGGCATGTTTGGGAGATTAGATATCCCTTTGGGGCGGATTCAAGGTGAGTTGCCAGGTTGATTTCAATGGGAAACCACAGGGAAGCCATAAGAATTACAGTAGGCAATACCAAACCGCTTCTTAAAGCGAGGCAGGGTTCACAGACAACTCCAGCCTCAGTCTCACAGCCCTCTCAAGGCCTGGTACTATAGGCCAAAACTAAAGAATGGAAAGGCGGCTGTATCTATCTTTAAGATTGGGACTGTCTACTAGGCTTGTTCTCCCCTTCATCGTGGGCTGGGGTTGCTCATTGCGAAGGAACAGGGAAGCCAAAAGAGATTCCTCTGCATGCCTCTGGTGGTCAGAGGGAACTGGCCCTCTGGGATACTCCAAAAACCGTGTACTTTCTCGTTCTGTTCCATATTTAGCCTATACTAAAACAAAAAGTTTTGTTAGGAGACCCCAGGGAAAAGCACGACACTATTTTCTCGGTTGGTTGATTCAGGGACTCCCCACGCTAAAAAGAAGATGGGCCTGCAACAATTCGCAAAAAGCGGGAACCCATGTGATTATGTGTCACAACCGGGGTGTTTCCAAGGTGAAAAGCGAGCCTCCACAAAAACAAAAACACTCAGGGGCGAATGTTTCGGAAACCCATGTTAATTTGCAGAGTACCTGGATGTTCAACCAACTTCGTCATCACTTGGGTATCAGGGGTAGGTCCCCTTACAAGCGTTATCACCTACCAAGTGGCTTGAACATCCAATCAGCCAGAGCTACGGAAACCAGCTGCGCCAGGGCGCCGTAAAAAGGAAGGCGTACATGCCCACGACCTCAGGTTCCACAAGGCAGCCGCTCGTGACCCTGGGAAACCCACCAGAGAAACAACATGAGCGGATTTGGATTGCAACCTGCTTCTTTTGGGTTTTGGGATCTTAGCTTTTGGGATGCAGCCACCTTGTTTCCCCGAGTTGACCCAAGTACATCCGGAGATACGTTGACCCTGAAGGTTTCGAGACGTTAGTCATCGTTAGTCTGAACCCAGCCGGTGATGTCAGCTGCAACGAGTAGTGTTACATTCCGGTTGACTATACGAACCAAAGGAACAGCTTTGAAAAGAACACGTTGTCCCCCCGGTGTTTTCTCCGGAACAGAGTGTCTCTGAGCTGAAACGCAAACAAGTTTCCTCCTGCCGATTGGCGACGGGTTGAGGTCCTCTTTCAGATGGAGATGGATGTAAATTTCAATCCCATCCAGAGACAAAGACAGAGAGGACCATACTAATCAGGGATAATATATATATATATATACGTAATCAGGATTGGTTCCCCTTTTAGTGAAGATGTTAATTAATTGTAGAGCGATTCCTTGGCTTGGTAGTGTTCTCCAGAATAATCTACTAATATGCACATGGGGATCTATATGTCCATGCACCATGTGCAAGGTGCTCCAAACATTGCACTTTATGGCCGTCTGAGTTTGCAAGGTCTGCCCAGGAAACAGAGCAGGCGGATCAGGCAAACAACTGAGGGTTTCGGATTCAATATTTGCACCAAATGATTTAGATAAGCCACAAGACATCCACCAACCCACCCACCCACCCTTGTTCCTCAACCCCAAGAGTTTGTGTAACAAGCCTTAGAGAGAACTAAGGCCACTGGATAGAATGTCAACGGCCAAGGCTCCATGCTTGGGCCATGTTTTGTGGTTGATCATAATTATAATCTACTGTCCCCCGACCATACAAGAGGGAGTACGGTGGTGAACTTCTGGACATCGGTACCCCAAGGGCGATTTCTACAACCATGTCCTATTCCAGGGCTGACTACGTATTGCGCAGAATCAGAAGATATGGCCTTCATGGTACCCCAAACGTCCAAGATGAATGTCTCATAGGCATGCGTCCTGAAGGTCTACGTTTGCTACGTTTGCTGCCTCTCGTGCGCGGAAACCTTGGCGCCTGGGATCCAGTTTTATCGACCACGGCTGTTCTCTTGTGCATGGAGGGCACCCGCAACAGCACGCGCAAACGCACGCACACGCGCACGCGCACATACACACGCCCGCGCACCGACACACATTCTCACCAGCGCAGTTCTGTGGCAACAGTGGATGTCCTTGGGAAGTTCACAAAATGGGGGAAGTGCGCCATCTAGTGATCAATTGAAGATGCAGCAGGTTAAGCAATTACTGATGGTATACACCCCTATAGTCATGACTGAAGTTGGTTCTGAACTACCCCATGTAGAGTGCGGACAATGCGGATTGCTGATGAAAAGGGCCGGCAAGGCATTGCCGCCGCCTAGGTTCAAGCCGGCCAGCCAGTAGCAGGGTTCTCTTTGTTTCGCACGGAACAGACACCCCGCGCTCAATGTTGTCGGGGCAAACTAAGGTTGGTATGGGTTCCGGCTTCGGGCGAGTCACAAAACAAACAACACACCAGACAAGCAAGCTAGCAAGCGAGCAAGCAAGCGAGCGAGCAAGCAAGCGAGCGAGCAAGCAAGCGAGCAAGCAAACAAAACAATAAACAAACAAACGCAACCAAATAAAACCGCACAAACAAGCAATCAAAAAAAGAACAAGCAAACAAGCAAACAAACAACTAAACAGACGAACAAAGAACACCAAACAAAACCGAAGGATCCAAAGCGACGCCTTGAGCAAAAATAACAAGCTTTCATATCAAGCAAACAAGCAAATAAAACCAAACCACACCTCGCAAACAAGCAAACAAAACCAATCAAACGAGCACGCAAACAAACAAGAAAGCAAGACCCCCGAAAACGAGGCTCCAGGTTTGCCCCTTAGGCCGCCCGCCGGCAGCACCTGGAGCTCGAGGCCATACTTCTGCTGCGCCAAAAGCGAGGTGAACTGAGCCCATGGGATGCGAGGCGATCAGGTCACATAGGCCGAGCCCTGGATATTGATTCTCCCCCTGGCCTCTTGTTTAAACCAACCTGAAAGGGGTACCAACAAAAAAAAAGTGAATGAGGGCCTGAATAGTAGACTGGGGTTGCTTCCAAACCAAACTTGGTCAGTAGAAAGCTGTTAGTGATTTTCTTGGGCCCAGAAAGGTCTGGCCAAGCCCAAAAGTTTCATACTGTGGACAACATCCTGCACCACTTGGAAGGTAAATAACCCCGACTCCAACAGTTGGCCGTTTGCCTGCTTCCCTTCTGAAGGTGTACTCACGGCCAAACGGCGCGAATGGACAAACGTGTCACCGTCATTCTTTTCAAGTAGCGGCGGGCACGGCCATATCGTTGGGGCACAGGGCAATAGAAGCCCCTCCTGGGTCACTTGGCTTGCAACCAATTTGCAGGGAACCTACACACCCTTTCTTCAGCCTGGAGATTTGGGACGTTCTCGCTACCCGCACCTACAAGGTGATTGCCCTGGACGAAAAGGGGACCAAGAAAAAACAAAAGGTCGACAGGTTTCTTTCGAAGAAGTTGAACATGGTTCAACACCAATGGTTGAAACTCCTTTCGGTTTCCCTTTAAGGGGAACCTGGAGGTGGGGGGGGTGTTTCAACACAATGTTGCCAAAGCCTTCGCTGGGAGCAAGCCTGGGAGGTTTCTGCCAGATCTCCTTCTAGGAGGTGTCTGATTTAAATAAAACCCGCTCAACCCACGGCGAGGGGTGAAGTTAACAGGCCATGCTTCATTTTTTGCAGACCTCCAGTGGATTTCTAGGGAGAAACAGGGCGCCCTTGTTGGGTTGACTTTAAAGGGAAACCCTCCCCAAGAAAGGAAAACGAGGACACCACGGCGAAGCGTTCGAATGACCTAAGAGGTCTCAGCATGTGCTCTGTGCGAATGTGGGTTGTATGAAAACACTAATCCACATTTTCCCAAGCACTTATATACTTATAGGTTATTGAAAAAGATTGGCACATTCTGTTGGGTATTGGAGTTTTTAGGTGTGGGGGGCTAGGACCTATGACTCTCCAAAAGAAAGCGGCTGGTTCAACGGAATGGCCCGAACTGAGCCATCCATGATGTTCTTTCAGGGAACCCCAATCGGTTCATTCCAAAAACTGCCAAGGAAATGAAGCAGTAAGAGGAGACGCGGATTCCAATGAACCCTGATGTCCCACAAGGAACCTCAAAGATACGCAAATGTCAACTCTTCTCTAACGAAGGAGATATTCAGCATGAGAAACCTGGTTGTTAAACATATACACTAAAACAAACGATGACCTTTTTTTCGAGTAGGGGTAAGCCGGTCAGCCAAGTCCGACAAGGCAAGACACACCCACGCGGTGTTGAACGCGAGCGAGCGGACCCCCGGGCTGCGGGCGATATTCACCAGCAGAATGCCCGGCCCAGCGTGGAAGAGCCTCTCAAACGGGGGAAGGATCCACCAGGCACATCCCTGAAAACCGACTTCTCGGAACATGGACCCTGAATCCATCAAAAAGTAACGGTCCATCCTTTTCATGAAAAATCATGGGCATGAGTCTAAAGCGACTTCTTGGAACATTCTTGACTAAGAACAAAGGGCGAAAACAAAACAACAGAAATAATTACTCAAGGGAAAACGCACAAACACACACACACACACACCACGCAACAACTGGGGATCCCAAACCTTGTAATTTGAAGTCTATGGGGGTTAGAAGCCGTCCTGTTTTGGGTCTTGGGTCCCTAGGGTGCGTAAGACACAAACCCCATCGTAAACAACAAATGGATGTGAGCACACAGAACAACAACAAAACAATCACAAACCATCGTTAAAGGCAAAGAACCACTAAACCGGCACGTTTGCGAGCGAGCAAACGAGTCACAATCCAAACCTACAATCTGCCCAAAATTTCAACGAATCAAAAGCCCGGAATTCCGCATTCATCCCCCTCCAAGATGGCTTCCACTACCTCCAAACCACTCCGCCCAGGCTGCCCCGGCTGCCCCCAGGAGAAAGGGGGCTATAAAACCACCATGTAGCCTTGATGTAGTTACATGCCGCGTTTTCCCCCAGGGAGGCAGGATGGAAGACCTCTTCGACGCACTTTGGGGTCGAGCACTCCGGGCGCCTGAACCCGGTATGCGAGAGATACTCCGCAGCCACCGAGCAGGGCACGTCGCGCCATCGCACCCAGACCTTGGGCCTGGCGAGTGAAGTGGCCAAAGCACAAGTTTTTAGTGTGCAAAACGACCTAATTTAGTCTTAAGTGGCCAAACAACGAACTTTGTTTGTGGTGAACAATTGCAAAACGACAAAGGGTCATGTTTGAGGTTGGTTTGTAGGGAGGCTACCCAAATGGCCCAAACCCAAAAGGGATGTGTTTTTGGTCGAAGGTGCAATTTTTCAAGCCAAACGTGATGTCTATTTGCTTTGTTGAGCGTGCTGTTTTTTAGGCTGGTTAAAACAGGGAGAGTACCAAAATGGTCCAAACCCGCAAAAAATAAAGCCCAGTTGCTGTGTCCCTGGTAAGAAAAGGGAACCCTGCTTGTCGGTGGGAAGTCATCACACAGAAGGGTGCCACTGAACAACTGAGACAACATCCAGAAACTTAGGGAGTGAGTGGGTTACATTGAGTGTGTCCGTTTTGAGGATACCCCCCTAAAAGGGGGGGTATCAAGGGCAAATAGAGGAATGCCGCTGCTATGGGTTCTCCTGTGATCAAACAAACTCAAACTGAGTTTCCGATAACTCACTCTACTAGTTACTCTTTTTTTGAGCCACCAGGATCCGCATTGGTTGTTTTGTCCAATACTGTATGTGTATTACTAAAAAAACAGATTGATGTACTTCAGCAACCTGCACTGGGTGTATGTGAACAAAAGTCAGGCCTTATGCGAGTGGCTGCTTGGCCCAACTCTGGGGCGCTCTAGGCATAATACGCTCAGATTCTGTTTTATATGTTACTCTACGTGTTTGTTCTTTTTTTAAAACATAAACAATGGGGGAGAGCAGGAGTTGCTTTAAAGCGCAACTAAAAAAGCATCCCATCCCATCCCATTCCGGCAGGGTAATCCCCGATTCCATCCCTGAGCCTACCGGGGCAGTTGGTTCCTTTCCCAGGCAGGGCTCCCCCAACGGAGTTGCTCGTGCCCCTTGAGCAAAACGTCTTACCGTTTTGTAGGCTTAATGGAAGAGCTGTTTCTTTCAAAAGAATTGGTCACACCAAAGACCAAACAGGGTATAACTCAACCAGATGGAGTCTGCTTGCTTGGCTGCATTCTTTATGGTGTTTTGAGGTTTTGCAAAATAGCCGAGGAGTTGGAGTCAATAAGCCTCATCAAGGCCCAATGGCTGTTTCTCAGAATTGGGGTCCTCTAAAATGGTTGGTGTTTTGCTTTCGGTCACTTTGCAGGCTGTTCCCTAGTGAAGTTCGTAGTTATACTGCTTGCGTTTGAAGCCGGCCAGGGAATGGATGTTGAAGTTTCTAGGGTCAAACTAGTACCCCCAAACCACTAACCTCAGTTGGAACAAACACAGACCTCACGTGAGCCATAGTCAACATGTCCGCCCGTGGGAAGATGAGCGAGTCCGCCTGGTAAATCTAGCGACCCAATTTCCTCCAACTGATCGGCGTTCCTCTAATTTGTGGTTTGGAGGTTGCTCCCCCCATATCAGCCACAGGTTGATTCATTTGGGTGACTTGGGTTTTACGGCCACTTTCTGTGATACCAAAAGGGCCCCCTTTAAAGTGACAAAGTTTCATGGGCATGCCCCGCTTTGGTACCACAACAAGGGGCTGTGCTATGAGGATTGGCCAGATGTACGGGTTCAGGGAGCGAATAGTGGTTGTTTTTTCATGAGGCCACGGCTGCCAGATTCCCTTGTGGTTTCCCTCCGAATCCCAGGCCTCTTCTTGCACTCCACTAAGCAGCTGTACCTGCCAGGCCCACAGGACCCGTTTGTTCAGTCGCTTCAACTGTGTCGGGAAACCATGTTGTCCCAAATGACGGGCGGTCGCATTGCAAGGCGATAGAAAGAGGTGTAATACTTATCTATGATAGGTCATGCTGGCCCCGAATTAACAAGAACTGGTGAACAAACATTTGCCAAAGTGACGGATTCCCTCTATAAGCTCTGTCTTGGCTTCCAATCTAACATCACACCTGAGAATCAAAGCTGTGACAAGCGCAAAAAGCAAAAAACCTGGCGGATCAAAAGGAAGAAACTCCATGGATCCGAGTCTCTGTTTGGCGCCCCAACTTTTGTGCTGAAGATCCTTGACTCGACCCCCGCTGGACCTGTTTTACCCGCCTCTGTGCACCTTTTGTGCGGGTCCTTTGGGCATAAAGCAGGGGTCCATTGCGGGTGCAACTGACTTCCGGGCACAAAAGCTCGACATCCCACGCCTCCCACCTTCCCCTTTTGCCGAAAAAACTGTGCAATCAGCCCCCCGGTGGGCACAAGGTGGTGAGCAACCTGGGCACGGCAAGGAATTTTAGAACCCACGAGACCAAGCCCTGCAAGGGTTACCCTGCCTGCAGAAATGGCCTGGACATGTCCACCCTTTTTGGAACAACACCTTGCTTTCAGAAAGGGATGCTCATAGATGCTCGCTTTCGTGTTTGGCGAGAAGGTGATGGCAGTAAAAGCCTTATCAGGGCCTTGTTGGGGGCCTTCTCAAGGTCTACTCAGGGCCTGTAGATGTTTTAGCCAAACAAGGCCTGCCCAAAGGTCCTGATTAGCATGTTATTCGCCGAATGTTGGTCTCCCTGTCAAAACTTTCTCTCGCTTCGGGGTCTGAATACATGCGCCTCCGCTCGTGGTGGGCGGCTTTCCACATCTTCAGCTCCGTGTATGGAGAATGTCATCCTCTGGAATGACATCCTTCATCAGGCATGCTCTAAACAAGCGTCTCTTTTTTTCAGGTACCCCACATAACACTTCTGGAAGATCCCCCGAAGGTTCACGGTCAGGGAACCCCAAACTGGTGGAGTATCCTTGTTCCCTTTCAACCCCAAACAAGTGCTGAGTCCAGTGCTGAGCCTCAACATGAGACGCATCCAAATCAACATGCACTGCCAGCCTGGTGTCACCCTTGCCTTTCTCAGGGACAAACGTTAAGCGTGGGTGGGCTTGCCGGTTCCCCGTACCACACCCCAAACTGCTTTGGGGTCTCAAAATTTAACTTGGCCAACAAGATGCTCCTTACAAAAGCTTACTTGCCAAATAAGAAACGCGAATCAGGACCCTTGGTGAGACCTTGTTTGGCGAATAAGATGCTCCTTGAGCCGCTGTTCAGGGGCTGTTTGAAGGACCGAGAAAGGCAAATTTGTGCCCAAGGGGCAAAGGACAGGGACTCGTTCAAACACGTTGTCGCTCCAGACCCATGCAGTTACATCACGTCTGTCACACGTGATGAAATCACACAGCATGCTGAAATGCGATTGGTAAAAACATGTTGGAACAGTTGCTCATGTGAATATCATCCGATGCACCGACTTCAATGTGAGATACTTGGACAAGGCATGACGCTGTGGGATGCAACAAAAGCCGACTCAACCAAGGCGTAGCAGCTGAATCCCTGCAACAAGCTCATCCCGGCTGGCAGGCAAACAGGAGTAACAAAGGTCACCAAAAAATGGGAGAACAACCTGGAGCGAAACCAAGGAACGCCGCTAGGTAAACACACCTGACTTCGAGAAACACCCATGGGAGCACAAATTCCGCACCCTGTTTTTTGGGGTAGTTGATCGTAAAGAGAACCCACTGAGGAACCCACGGAGGAACCCACTGGAGGAACCCTCCCAAAAACTGACAAAAAGAGAAGGAACCTACTGGAGGCCTGAGTTTTGGGGGAGTAAACCGGGTCAAGCTTGCTTCCATTTGACTCGAATGGATGCGGAAACCATGAAAGCCCAATTTTCTGCGGATTTTGTCGCCCCGAACCTATGGCGATCGCTGCATCAGCATAGGACGGAAATGGGCCCTGAATGGCCCTGATGAACGTCTTATTTGGGAGAAAACCGCGGGGTGAGGGATCGTTTCCTGCTTTTGCTGCCCATCAAAAAGTTTGATGCCCGCCCCAAAACCTGGTTAGTGTTCTTTTGACTCTCTTTACACACCAACGGGGGTCCCACAAAGCTCAGGAAATGCAACAGAGCGTTGTCAATTTTTGCTAAGGTCCTCGGAGTCATTCACAAGGCCATTCTTTGTCCTGGCCTCTTGGAATTCGGTGACAGTTTGTTTGAGTGCTAGGGGGCCTGGAAAAATGCGTAAAAAACACTACCCATCCCGTTTTTGTTTCATCTGCAAATGACTTCAAAGGGACTCACCGCTGATTTAATGGGACCCTCTCATTTGTTGGTTTCTGTTGGGTAAATGACGCGTTTGGGCGACTTAGATCCCAGTTAGGGTGGACCTTTCTCTCTTCGGTCGTATTGCTGTCCAGAGGTGCTGCCGAGAGGCGAAATGATCCCTTTATAAGAGCCATCCGGATGGTAGCAAGCATTCCGCACCTGACTCGAAGCATCTCACAAGCATCTCATCACTCCCCAAGTTGTCCGGGCAAAACAACACACACACACATGCATTCCTCACGGCCCCCAACAGACCCCCTTTGTTCTGGCTTTGCACAGCTTCTTTGTACAGCTTCTTTGTGGGCCCTTTCGGCAGTCCAGGAATTCTACTCCCAAAGTCCCAAAGCAGTCCCGAGCTGGGAAGAAATACTGTTTTCTTGAATGGGGTCTGGAGAAAAAAAAGGACCCATCCCTCAAGCAAGAAGAAAAAACCCTATCTCGGAAAAGCGAGTTGTTTGGTTTTACCTCATGGCTTCCCCTAGTTATACACTCTCGAGTTCACTGGAATCACCTGGCTTTTGAAATTACTCCCCTGCATATTGACACCACCAAAATATGGTGGAAACCCAGCAAAGACAGGGTATTGGAAATTGAGGGAGGGACCTCCACTGCGCAGCGGCCCTTGCGTTGCAAAACACTGAGCGGACGGTGGTCTCCAAATGGGGGAACCGCCAACGGTTTCAAAGCGAAATCCTCCAAACGAATTTGAATCAAGGAAGATACCCCTGGAGGTCTGGATGAACCTCTCAAGGCAGGCGACCAATCGTCTGCCCGCTAAACATATGTGCTTGGCCCAAACACGACCAACATTTGTTTTAAACTCTGGTCCGTGTCTACCCAACATGGCTGGGTGCGCATGCAAATTGTGCACTGTTGTGTTTGTTGGTGAGGGCTAGCACCCTTTAGAAGAAGGTTAACTTCGGATTGAGGGGAGGACCGTACAAATCAGGGGTGGATCCCCTTTCAGTATGACTAGCTCCGGAGTTCAGTGGGTCAATCGGGACACGAGCACGTAAATCACGGCGACGAATTTGATCACCCTTTTTGCAAAGGGGGGACCAAGGCTCACTGAGTGGATCGGCCAAACGGAGTCGGAACTTGCTGTTGGCCAATAGCATAGCCCAAACCCACGAAGTGTTCAAGGCCAGCAACTCAGTGAGAAGGGAGGAGAATGGGAACCCAGAACTGAACCGCCCTTGGAGTGTCCCATGTTAGAGCGAGGCTTCCAGGAGGATAAGTGACGACATTCGGGTGTGGATGGCAACTCAAAACCCATGACTGAGGAGACATACTGTAGGCGGACAAAATCTTGTAACAGTTGGTGGGTGCGTCCCAGTATTCATAGGGTTTCACCCACTCCCACTGGGAAAGGATTTGGTTCGTCCACTTTGTGGGCACCCCCATATGCTCATGCCCCTAGTATGTGTCAAAAACACATCACTTAGGGAAGCTCACCTGGCCCTTCGAAGGTGATCTTGAAAACCATCCTCTTCCAGGGAAACATCGAAGGAACCCTGCCGGTGGCTTCCGTGGGTTACCCAACTGCGTGTCAAGGGGGTCTGGCAAAAACAAATGCCAAGCCCCCCTTTTGGTTTCCCAAGAGTCTATTTCAGTGGGGATTGGGATGTTCACTGGGGGTACGGGCTTTTGAGGCATGGCCATATTTGTCCCTTTTATGCAGGAGGGCAAGTTGAACATCTGACCCTTCTTGGGGATTTTGAACATCACCTTCTTGGCGCAGTTAGGTTCTTGGCAGGGGTGATGGTTTTAAGGGGAAGTGTAGGGAACCCGGTGAGTCCTTTAGTTGACCAAGCACCATTTTTAGCACCCTTGGACAAAATCCGGTTGGGATGGATGAACCCTTAAGCCCAAGAAGTCTTGCTTACTGGGACAAAGTACCAATCCCCCAAAATGGGATCCCATTGGATTTGACAACCACGGCCATATGCGAAAATCTCGCATCGAGCGAGAAAGCGCGAAGGGGTTGGTGCCTCGCCCAGCATCCAGCGGGTGGACTGCGAGAGCGCGGAGATGGGATTGCGGGCCACGTCCTGGCGTCGCACCCCCGTGGCCGCGCAAGGCTTTGAAACGGTGGGCCCTGGGAGTCGCTGGCCACCATTAAAACCAATGGGGAGCTGGGGGGGGACATACAACCATCATGATTTTAGGAGTTTCATCTAAATTGGGTCAAGCAACATAATGGGGTTGAACCCTAGAAAGGAATCCCCAAAATGGCTCGCAAAGCTGCAGTGAGCAAAACAAATCTAAGAATATGGGCTTCCTAAAGCCTTACATCATAGAACCTGGGCTTCACGTGCTACCCTTGTACTACAAAGTTGTGATTTGTTGAGCTGAAGCTTTTGGCGGACAGCAAAATTAACACGAGGAAGCCAAGCAGCTAAGGCGAGACTATCAAAATGGCTGCGGCTCAACATGAATTCAGTGAATGAGTGCAATGAGTGGATGAAAACCTAACGGAATCGCGACACATGGTTAATTATTTAAAATATATTTTCCTCGTACCGACAAACGCCCCTCGCCCTTTGAGACATGATTTTGGGAATGCATTTGTATTGCAAAGAAGCAGACCTCAAGGTTCAGAAGATCATCCAAGTACATAGGGTTTCTCTAAATATGAAAACATGGGATGCCATTGGTTTCCCTTAAGCAAACACTCCAAAAGGGTATCATCCAAAACGACACCCCCGTGTGGCTGTCAAAACGATACTTTCAACAGGCTTGGTCTACCCACTGGCGTCCGGATTGTTGCTCTCTCTCTGTCTCTCTTTTTCTGTTCGGTTTTCCTTGTGGTGTGCCTTGAAACCTGAAAAGGGCTCCCTCAAAACAGCACCATCCCGTCTCGTTGTCTCCGCTCGAAACTTGCCGCCTCGTAGAGGGTCACATTAATGTCCACTGCCGGCTGAAGTAGCTTTGCCTCCACCTGGCCCGAAGTCTTCGTCGACTTTGTAGTCGCAAGTAACATCCCTGGGGTCAAAAGGACACAACACAACTGGGGGGTCTAAAATAGGGAAACCCCACAATGGATCCCTGGTAAATGGAACCAAGGACTAAAACCTGCGGTCCCCCGGTGGTTAAGTTTTGACCCATACCCAACTGTTGGCCCCTTCCTTCCGTGAAGCCCATTGGTTGTCCCGGATCATGGTGCAAGTGGGAGACCTTTCTCACAGAGCAACGCACACGCAAACACACACACACACACACACACACACACACACACACACACACACACACACACACACACACACACACACACACACACACACACACACACACACACACACACACACACACACACACACGCGCACACCACGCACGCGTCACGGCAACAACGCACGTCGCGCGCACGGGCGCACGCGCGCACGCGCGCACACGCGCACACACGCACACCCGCGCACACCCACGCACCCACGCGCACACGCGCACACGCACCCACACGCACCCACGCACCCACGCACCCACGCACCCACGCACCCACGCACCCACCACACACCCACGCGCCCACGCGCCACGCACGCCCACGCACGCGCCCACGCACCCACGCACCCACGCACCCACGCACCCACGCACCCACGCACCCACGCACCCACGCACCCACGCACCCACGCACCCACGCACCCACGCACGCACGCACGCACCCCCACCCACCCACACACACACACACACACACACACACCTGAAAACGAGCACTTGTCCAGACATCTGTCATTATATATATATATATACCTAGAGATTCGTTGCGGCAGAAATTTCTGCCGCAAATCAGAAAAGGCGCCTTTTTGGATTTGCGGCATTTCTTCCTGATTTGCGGCGTTTTTTTTAGAATTGCGGCAGAACTTGTTTTCAGTTTTTTCTACCCCCCGATTTGCGGCGGAAATCGGCGGGAATGCGGCGGAAATCGGCGGGAATGCGGCGGAAATTCCCGGAAAGCAAACGGTGTTGCGGCGTTTTTGTTTTGGTTGCGGCGTTTCTTTTTGTTTGCGGCTGATTTTCTGGAATGCGGCGGGAATTTCCGCCGCAATGCGTTGCGGCAGAAATTTCCGCCGCAGGAAGTTCTAGGTATATATAGTATATATGTATACCTACATAAATAGAATTCAAACTGGCCAAAGCCAAAGCTTTGTGTGCATTGAAAAAAATCAGCGCAGCAACAGGAATATTTGGGATTGGTGCTCCAGGTCACAATGCGTTCATGGCAAGTGACAACATCAGTCTCTCCTCGCAACGTACATGCACTGGGACGTATCAGGTCTATCCCTGTTCGCTGAAAAAACATGGCCACTAGCTGCTAAATAAATGGCTCGCGTTGCCCTGGGCCTCATCATTGCAACGGCCGAAATGGAAACAGCAACAAGCTCCGAAACGCACACAAGACTTGCCAATTGGGCAAGCGTAAGGGGCATAACAGTCAGAATGGGGTGGGGGGGTACTTCAAAGCCACATTTAGCCATCGTAAGGGTAAACAATTTGTGGACCATGATTTCGTGGACCATTTGCCCAAGATATTGCTGTCGTGGACCATGATTCACACCGACTGAAAGTGCTTAAAATGACCCTTTTTCGATCGGGTCATGACCCCTTTTGTGTGTATGACCCCCATTTTGAAGGGTCAGAGTAATGCAGACTCCGGCTACCCAGCAAAGTCCAAGGCGGATCTCTGTACCAATTTACCTGCCTGCACACCTTCAAATCGATACCTGAACAATGTCAGGACAACAGATATTAGAGAGCTAGCCTCCTATGAATCAGGCCAAATAGTGCCTAACCTCTCAGCTTGTGGTTTGCGGGGTCTCTGAAAAAAAAGCCTGTCAACCCTTCCACCCACAAATACAACTTTTCGGATCACGATAGATCACGATATGCCCTAAATTAGGGAGTTTAGGATAACAAATAAATGGGTCGGGATTTGTCTTTTTAAGCACCGCCCCGCCAAACGGCAACTCACGTCCAATTTGCCCAACTGGTGATGTTCAAAACCATCTGGCAGGGGGCTAACATAGGTGGACCATAAGTCCCATAAGCCCCGTAAGCCCCATAAGCCCCGGGTGATGCCCAGAAGCCACCCCCCCCCCTCCACTCCCAAGACCAATCGACCGCTCGGTCCCCGAAACCGGCCGTGTCGTGGCTGAGGATGTCCACCGGCAAAGCCTCGACCAGATTCCCAGGCCTCGACCATTGCTCCGCGGGACTTGCAGGCCCTGGTTTTCAAATGGGCAAAATTGGGGCACACAGAACATGTTGGTTGTCCTTGGGGTGTCCCTGTAAACGAACCTTGAAAAGGGTACCCTCACGCCCAAATCCTAGGGATTGAACAGTTCAAACTTGCACACCAATAACAAAACATGCCAAATCCAAGTTTAATTGTTTTGGGATTTGGTTTTGGACTGGGCCAAACGAATGGATCCAACCAGGACCCTGGAGTTGATGACCATCCCTACCCAAGTAAAAGGCTTGTTTTGGGCAAACCTAGACCCAGGCAAAAGGGCGCCAAGGCAAGGTAAGTAAGGATCCAAATGAACCTAGCCAGGAACACCTGGATGGGACTCCATGTTTTTGGTAGGGCAAGCAAAATGAGACTTTGGGTGAGTCCTGTCTTTGGGGTCCCTCATGCAGGGGTCGGGTACTTCAGGGATCCTGCAAACTGCCCCCCCCCCAAAAAAAAAAGAAGGAAATCATTGACCTACACTGAGGCTTAATACTCCCCGGCGGATTGACGCGCAATCCATTTGCTGTTGAGGAGTCTCCTTTCAGGGAACCCCCAACATGATGTCGGTGGAGTGGAAGCCCTCCGTGCTGACCGCAGCCAACACGACGTCTGACTCCTTCTTCCACTTTGACGACCTGTTTTGCCGTGACTCAATCCGCAGATGTCTCCCTCCATGTTGTGTTGCCTATGTAACACCCAACGTTTCACATGAATTTGGTATGTTCTGAGCTCGACCATCCGGATGGCCCTCAGGTGAACATGGCAGGGAGGTGAAAGAAAATATGCCTCCAAAATACATCCTTGATAAGTGCTTGTTGGCTTGGCCAAGAAGAACACAGACTACCTGGAGGGGGCTACCTGACATTTGTAGGACCCGGGCTGGGGCAAACGTTGGATTCGGAAAGCAAGGGATTGTAGAACTCCATCTGTTTGGGTGTGGTGTGTTTCTTTTTGAGCCCCAGTGCCTTTTTGGGCAGGCAGCCTGAGTTGGCCCTTATCTGTTGCGGTGGTAAGGTCCCTGACCCAAGGGAGGAATTGGCTGCAATCACAATCTGACACTAAAGGGGCTACCCAAAACCATGCAACAAAGTACAAGAGCGAATATCCGCACCTATTTCTGGTAAGAATTGCCGTCCGATGTGTCTTGTGTTTCCGAGCGCCAGTGCCACTGCCACAAGGTTAGATTCCCATATGAAGAAGCAATTGAAACAACAGCCTGCCCAGCTTTTGATCGTGGTTCGGATTCTCTACCCGGTTTGGCCCACATTTGGGGCACAAAGAAAAGGCCATTCTCTAGGTTTGGCCCACTTTCGGGGCACAAAGAAAACGCTACATTTTCAAGACGCTCTTTCAATGTTTCGTCCCACAAACAACTCGTTTTGGTTAGACCCGGTGGGGCACGTTTCTCAGTTCTCCTTGCGGGTCCGGTTGAGGCCCTGAGACTTTGGCGCTCCAATGAGCCGGGAGATGTACATGTCGTTCCGCACCAAGCCCTCGCGACTCGCAAGACACGTGGCGCCTAGGTGCAACCAATAAAAGGGATGTGTTTTAGGTACAAAAGGCGTTGCCTGATATCTTGCGTGTATATAACTTCCGCATGAAGCATACGTACAAGGAGTGTTGCCATTGATATAAGGTTAAACCCAAAATGACCCATGGCTGGCTCGATCATGTCGAAATGACCCAGTTGAAGTGAGTCATTTCCGAGGTGTGTAATCGTAGGGGGCTACAAGTGGACTAGAGCTGCATGAAAGCCAAATTCAGTCATGATCGCTGTTTGCTGGTTGAAAGGAAAATGAAACACCCGAACCAAAGAGAAAACAATGTTAAACAAGTAAGCTAAGTCTGGCAATGCGTTAGTCTATGTTATTTTTTTCCACACCCCAAGGTCACACCCTGGCAAAATGCCGAGTCGAGGACATTTGCAGTGGGTGTCTCTTAGGATGTTCAGAAGCCCAGTGGAAAAGCTTGCGGCCGCCGAGATTTACGGAAAAAGTCCCGAGTGGTTTTGCCAAAAGACGTCTCCGAACTGTTCGCTTATCCCTAAATTGATCCAAACCAAGTCTCAAGCCCAGGAACTCAGGCACTGGGCGTCGGCGGGAGCTGCCCTCGTCCGTGTGCTGTCTGGGAAACACAAGGTCACGGCGGCTATAGCGACCGTGAGGCCACCGCAACACCATCATTGGAAAAGGACTGGTGCTTTTACTGCCACCGAAAAGCAAAACGAAATGGTGCAGATTTCGATGATTGCTTTTTGGTGGCTTCTGCTGTCCACAAAATCCACTGCCACCAAAAAGCAGTCATCAGCATTGGACTCCTGAGAAAGCGTGGGATCAGTGGAACCAAGTCCCCTTCGTCGCCTTGCCGTAGAAGCCAGTCCTGTTGAAGATCCAAAACCTTGCGAACGAGATGCCATGCGAACTGGAAATGCTCCCCAAAATAAGCCGGGGTTTTCTTCAAATTGTAGACCTGAGAAAACAGAAGGTCCAAGCTACATAAACTCTCAGTTTCAAATCACCTTCGTGAGACCCGGACATAACTCAGCCTATGTGCCTTTCTTTGTCCTCAAACCACAAGAAGGTTCCCTACTTCATCCTGCGACCTCCATCCAGGAATCACTACATGTCCTGCCAAGCATCGCACCATTTTAGTTGGCAGCCCCTTAAACATGTCAGCACACGACTCCAATCATTGATCCTTGTGGAAATCTACGCTCGGCCAATGAAGAAATGTTGTTCCTAATGCCTGAAGGTCCGATGTGGTTAACCCAACATTAGCTGTAGATGCTACGCCCTCGGTTATATACCAGAGCCCTTACAGATTTCCCCCCCGCACCTCCCCCCCAAAAAAAAAGAAGGGACACCAAGCAGGGCCTGAATGGTCGGGAGGGGTCTTTGTGGGGGTGGTTCCTAGGTCCCTGGTCTTTTTCGGCCTACTAAAGCGTTCAACATATGTAGTAAACAGGCATACTAAACATCAGGACCCCAAGGGTTAGGGATTCATAAGCCTTACCACCGCATAACTGAGCCAAATGCCTCAACCAGAAAGGTGTTGTAACGTTGGCGGACCGTCCCTGCATGAGATGAGTTCAGGGCTCCCTACATTTGCCCCACCCCACGAGGAAATTCAACTATTGGTCCAGTGATCTTACAACTGGCTTACAAAATCTGTATCGGTTGGATCGCCTTTTGGTACTTAGTGGAGGCCACAAGGAAGCCGTTGATTTGTTAGGAAATGGACCGATGCCCATTTTGAAGCCACAATTGCAAACAGAAAGCACGAATTTCCTCAAGCCTCTGAGGCCCTGGCTGACCCCGCACCAGGTTCACAGTGGACACCTGGAGGCCCCAAACGAGGTGCAGCCCGCGATTTTGAGACACACGGACGAGTGGATCGGCAAACATCTCCCGACTTTGATTGTTTGCACCTTTGCACCACTGGTACCAGTCGGATATCTGCAGAAAGGGCTATCCCCTTCTAACCTTCATCTACTTGGGTTTTGATTGTGGCGCACATGATGCATACCCTAGTTATCCAGTGGCCATCCCAGAAACACAAGGGACCGGTTGCATTTGGTGGGCTGATCGAAATAATCCGGGTGGGTCAAAGAACTCCCAAGCTACACAAATGTTGTGGTGGTGAGTAGGGAAACAATTATTCTGGGGGTCAGTTAGTCTTTAAACTCCTGTCTTCAAGGGCCCTCCCAAAAGGGGCTCCTTGCTGGGAGATTCTGCAGTTTCGGGGCCCTTGACGAAAATAGGCTAAAGCAAAGGATCTTCTGCCCTGATTTGTCCGGAAGATGACAGTATAGTGTCCAACTGACGTCCCAAATCAGTGAACACCATTGGGTGTTTCCTTACTCATACAGGCGCTTTTATGTTGAGGCTGATTTGAAGGGAAACCAAATCGACACCAACAAAGGCCATTTAAGGCAAGTGAAGGCAAACCAACACAAACCGTTTGCAGACAAACGGAAATCAATGGAAGCCATTTGGAGACACTTGATGCATTTGCAGTAGAGACATTTGAAGGGAAACCAAATCAACACCAATACAAGCCAACCAAAGCAAAACCAAACTTGGAGGGTTCCGCAAGCCACTGAAAGACAACTCCAGACTGTCCAACGGCGCCTGTTGCCCAATGCTCGCGAAACACCATGAAAATATGTTTTTGGGCTTGAACCCATGTCGAGTTTAATGGTAGCCCATCAAACAATTCTGGAGGGTGAAATCCCAACAATCCCATTCTGAAAGTCACAGAAGCAGCTACGAAGCCTGGGGACCAGACTACCAAGACACAAATCCCATCCAGTTCACAGGCTGAAATGCCGTGAACCGAAACCCAGGAAACTGAAAAAACGAACGCCTCGAGTCGCGAGGCGCGAGCCGCTTCTTGCCCGAGCCCGCCTCCATCAGCGCGTTGCGCCACATGTGCCACGTGCAATCCTGAGAGGATGGCTGCCCATTGGTTTGGTTGCGGTTATAAACCTCCTCGATGGTTTTGGTCGGGTGTATCACCCGTTAGACCAAAGATGGTTTGGCTGTATCAACCTTCTTTTGTGGTGCTTACTGGGTTACTGTATCTACAACCAAAGCATTCGGCGGAATGCATGAATAACTTCATAGCATGAATCCGTCCTTTCACAGCATTGGTCCGCTTTGAGGCTGCTTTGACGGCTTAGGGGCTTATCGCGTAGTTATTCCATGGATGCCTTGCAGAACCATGATGTGAACCCTAGAAGTAAAAGTCTGGGCACCTGCCATAGGCTATAGGGGTATCTGGATGCGCTGGCTCAATCCATAGCAAGGGACCCTTGGAAGGTGGCTTCGAGACCAGGGTTTTCCCCCTTTCCATTACTTCTCCTGAGTTTAGAAATTGTGAAGCATACTCAGTCAACCTTACACAAACAACATATCGGAGACCGCCAGAATCAAGGAAAGCACCTAAGACGCGCAGGTGAAAGCGGGCACCAAGGGTTTGCCTTGCCTCCCATTGAACGTCTGAGCAAAACAGATCTCCGGCCTCCGCGCTCGTGTAGTCCACAGCCAAGTTGGCATTGATGATGCCGAAGTTCCTGGCCAGCTGCGTTGCGAGTCCCCCCTGAAAAAGAAACGCAACACTTGTTATTATGGTTGCCTGCTTTGTTGGAAAATTGGAAAACACATGAGCGTTGGTGTTATTCTCCTCAAAACTTGATTGGACAGTATTCAAGCTTCCTTGCCGCGGACCAAAAGGTCCCGTCCGCGGCAAGTAGTGGCGCAGAAGGGAAGGTCGCTTTCAGCACGCAAGAAAAGGAAGGTTCTGCCTGTATTGGCGCAGCGCGTGTAGGCTACCCGTGCTACGTGGAAAAAACATTCGCAGAACTTGGTTGTTTCGCCAGGTTGGCTGTTTGGTCGAAACAAGTCTTAGATGTGTATGTCATGGCTTTACTTTGCCTGCCATTCAAATCCCATGGGCCGTTTTCGTGGGATGAGAGTTCTTGATTGCGTTGCTGGCTAAGGCATGCACAGGGGCTCCAGAGTGCTCGCAACTGCGGGATGGACCTGGCTGTCGATCAGGCAAAGCTCAGTGAGGAACGCAGGCGGCGGATGATCAGCAATTCTTTCGGCGAGGAATTTGGCTGGCAGGCCAGAAAGTTTTCGGCGAGAAATCCAACGGGCAGGCTTAATAATTGTCGGCGAGTTCCTCTGCGAGGGGCTCTCCCAAAAGTCAGGATCTCGGCGAGCAATCTCGGCGAGTTGCGCTGAGCGGCTTGGCTGGCTGCGAAGCACAAAAATCTCTCCTTAAGGCCCAGTTCCACCAAGCCCTGCTTTCGGAGAGGCCCTCGCAGAGGGGCTCTCCTCGAGAGGGGGTCTGGCCGGAAATTATTAGGCCTGCCCGTTGGATTTCTCGCCGAAAACCTTCTGGCCTGCCAGCCAAATTCCTCGCCGAAAGAATTGCTGATCATTGCAGATCCGCCGCCTGCGTTCCTCACTGAGCTTTGCCTGATCGACAGCCAGGTCCATCCCGCAGCTGCGAGCACACTGGAGCCCCTGTGCATGCCTTAGCCAGCAACGCAATCAAGAACTCTCATCCCGCCAAACGGCCCACGAGATTTGAATGGCCGGCAAAGTAAAGCCATGACACATCTAAGTCTCGTTTAGGCCAAACAACCAACCTAGCGAAACAACCAAGTTCTGCGAATGTTTTTGTGGGCACTTGCCTGCAGAACGGGGCCACCCTTCCGCGGAGCTTCTGCGAACCTTCCACGAAACCCGCCGGGTGTTTTGGTCTTCTTGGCTTGATATTTCGTCAGAGTATGACACATTTTCTGAGACCCCCCACCCAAGAACAGTGAAGGAACGGTGAAGGAAAGGGTCTCGTTTCCCTTCCACAGCAGGATGTGCCAAGTTGCGTTCCCAAGTTCCCGATAGTCTCAAATCCTGTTTCACCGGCTCCCCCTTAGATCTCACTGGACACGGGATCCCCAAATACTCCCCAAGCCACGTCTGAATTAAGTACCTGCCTGCAACTTCTCCCGCATCCGAATTCCAACTACCGGCCTGTCCAAAATTGGAACGCTCTTCCAACCCCCAAGAACTGCCAAACACGTTCCAGTGGAAGCCATGGGCAAAGGATATGGGTCACAGTCAAAATTCCATTTCCTCCATGGCACAATTTGCGAGTCTTGGTCGGTTCAGAGCTTCCTTCTCGTTCCTCTCAAATGGCTTCAAACTAACAGCAATGTTGACTAAACCGGCCTCCGCTGGTTGAGAATGCGGACCCCTCTACCCCAAAAAGGTTTCCACCGGATAGCCTCGCGATTGTCCAACCGTAGAGCTTGCCGCCGTATGTTGCCCTCGCTGTGGAGGTCCGCCGTCGCGTTTATAGAGCTGAGTATGTTCGTCCTGATAGACCTGATTTGTGTTGTGGATGGTTACAAAATCCATTTCGCACCGTTCAGAAACCCATTTGATTCCTCAACGGGCAAAACAACACAATTCTATGTTTATGGTTTCTTAGGTGGTGCGAAGTGGAGTTCGTCCATCCATAGTGACGGCTCGCTTTGCTGTGGGCTGTTTGACATCCTTCTCCCTGATCGCCTCAGAGCATTGTGCCAGAGGACCTGGCACTCGTGAAGTAGAGCAGGGCATCATGAGGAACACCTCAAAAAGACACCCATTTGCGATTAAAGTGTAATGGGACCCTCTCGGTGACGGTGGGGACTTATGTCCAGAAACCAATTTTTGAGGGGTTCCACCTCTTAAAAGTCATATCCACCTCTGATTTTCCTTGCAATGCCCCAACCAACAGGGGGCCGAAATCCATGTTGAGAAAGGGGACCCCCTTGAAATGGTCAACCACCCTAAAAGGGGTTCCACTTTTTTCTACCAGGGTCACTGGGCTGGGGCTCACTCGAGCTCCTGGACTCTATTTGCAGCAGACCATTTGGCTATTAGTTTTAATAGGGGACCACCTTCAAAGTGGTGGACATGAATCCCAACCTAAAATGATGTCCACCAAGGCTAGGTCCTCCAGTACAGAGGTTAGAATCAGGGTACCCTTTTTTCTGTAGTCTATTTTAGTAGGGGAACCCTCCCCCAGAAAAGGGTTAAAGGGCTAGAAGGGGTCCCCTAAGATTCAATGACTATGTCAGTGACTCGCAAGACACATCTCCTGGACTCCGAACGTCGAGAGAACTTCAGCCTGTTGGCCGAATGCTCCGCCGCTTCGATCAGCTGCCGGATGGAGCCGCCAGGGCAAATCGTGTCCTGCCCCAAACGTCTCGGGGCCTTTGGGGACGGTCTACCCGCTTCGTCCGGAAAAAGGGGAGGTCATTTCGGTCCGTATTGATCAACCCCTGTTTATTGATATGGGGGTCCCCTGAGTTTAGTGGGGGGGGATCATCATTTTTAGAGGAGAACACCCCCATATCAATGTTTATTAATCTGGGGTCAACATTACACAGACAATAGACAACAAGATGTTCTGACTGTGCTCTGAAGGCTTTTTTATATTTAGTCTACCCATAAAACAAGCTTTGGAGACACCAGCTAAGCCTCTTGGGCCCTCAGAAAGGCACTTGTGAAGGTCCAACACCTTTCCGAGGGTTCGAGGGATGCGGGCATGGTGATAATGGTCAGAGGCCTTACCAAACTCGCAAAACTGCTGGAACCACTGCTCTCACCTGCTCACATGGCACTTGGTTGGGACTGGGTTGTGGAAATTCGCCAAATCCCAAGCAGGAGGTTTGGCGAATCCTGGAGATGTTCCTCCTTCCCTCTACTGGGTGGTTTGGATTGGCTTTTTGGAGGTTCGGGGTGGTCCCCCATTTATCATCTATAAGAAACAGGTTTTCAAATCCCCAACACCAACAATTCAAACCACCAACTCCCAAATAAACCTGCTTTGATATTCCAACCAGGGGATGGTGAAAAAAACAATAATAATAATAAAAAGTAAAAAAATAAAAATAAACGCCGACAGAATCGAAATCAAATTGTTGTATACCAAATGTTTGCGCCCTCACCCAAGCTTTCTCCGAAAGAAGCATCCTTCTCTAGTTTGGGAAATCGAGCCCCATTTTGGGTTGCCTTGAAAGGGAAACACTGGCAAACTCCCCGAAGGTTCAGTTCTCGCTTGGCTGGACCTTTTGCCTTCAACTTGGGTGAGTCACTTGTTACAATCATTCCATGAGCTGAATTTGCGGGAGCCTCTTAGTGATTTGATGATCCCTGAAGTTAGACCGTTTGTGGCGTAATCAAGCCCCTCTGAAAAATAGAATGTCAAATCGAAGGGGATGGCTCGGAATCGCCAAGCTACATCATGGCTTTCGTTCGTTCTACCCCCGAATCGGTTTTGGCCCGCAACAGGGCAAGCTGAAAAAAGGTTTGCAAGCCTTGCAGGACAGGAGAATCTGTTGGCCCGAACCTTACGCCCCAAGGGCTTAAACATTTCTAAGACGTATGGAGCCCTGAGCCTGGGGGGTTCTTTGGCGCCAAAAGGGTACCTATAGGATATATAACCAAACATCCCGAGGACACCGAGCGGCTGAATCCAGCACCATGGTGTAGAAATATCCTCAGCGCAGCGCAAGCTGGCAAAAGCAAGAGGGTTGGCAAATGGGTGTTTCTCAACATAGGGGTACAAACATGTAGTGTTTCCCTTGTGTCCCTTGAACAAACGTCCAACAAGGGGCCCAGCATCTTGAGAAACCCGCATAACTTGGTTTCCATACTCAGTTGCGAACAAGTTGGCAGGCCAAAACAAGTCTGAACTTTTACCCCAAAACGGTGTTCCCAACATGTCAGTAAAGTCCAGGAGTGCGTGTAAGGGCCCACATAATTAGAATGGGGTTCAGTCGTGCGGTGCTCAAAAAAATAAGTCGTGGTTGAAGAATGGTGCGTGGTCCTTGCTTAGCCTCTTGTATTAGACGGTCAACCCCTGGTTGCAATTTCGCGGAAGCAAAGGTGGCTGTTTCAACAATTGTGCCAGCGCACGACTAGTACACCCCCCTGATTAAAGGGTTCCCCCTTTTGCCTCCCTGATTCCCACCAATACTAAAGCAAAGGACCAAGAAGGTTTGCCACAAACAATTTGTCCAAACAGTTGTTGGGCCTCCCCACCCCCCCCCGCCCCAGATTAAAGGTAGCCCTCCTACAGCCCCCAAGCCCAAAAAATCTGCAAGAAAGGTGCGTTTCAAATGAGAAGGAGGTGTTCAAGCTCACAAAGGGCACCCTCCAGCCCCTTCATGAACAGAAAACCTCCGCGATTGAGGGCCCTTTTCAACTCAATGCCAAAAGCTGCTTTTGCAATTCAAAATTGTCCAAACCTTGTCTACCTTTGAAGGGGGGGTGGGGGGGCCTTTACCAGTCAGGGGAAACCGTTTGTGAATTGAACCTGTTTCAAGGGCTTGGCCCAATGGAAGCAAAGGCCCTTCACCCCAACCAGATTCTGAAGGAATCGACGGGGAAAACGGCGTTGACCTCTCAAAGGGTAACCAAAGGGCCACACCCGAAAACAAATGAAGGAACCTGCGGGGTTCTGACAGAACGGATACTATGCAATACTTGGATGCTCAGCTCAGGTCCCTACTAAACCGGGTAGAACCACCGCTGATAGAGGCTTTGGGCGCTGCTCAGTGCAATCCATCGCTCCCCGAACTGAAACCAGAAAGAACATGATACGATGCATCCCGGTGTGTGAAACTTCACCAACTCGAGGTTGACCTTCTGGGCTCCTGACCTAAAATGCACCAAGACGAAACCAAAAGCTGAAAGGATCCATTCTGGGCCCTTTTAACCCACTTCAAAATCAGGCCTCCGATTTTGGGATGGACGCTGCGGCCCTTCGGGAAGACACCTCTGGGCCTGCGGGCGGTTCCGCGGGTCCCGCCCGAAGTTCGCGATGAGCTCCACCTGGCTCCGTCAAACCCTCGGAGGTCCTGCGAAATGAACGCCTTCAATGGGCCCAATGACGCGGGAGGTGAACTTTCCAAGCCTTGGCATGTGTGCCAACATACATAACATTGGACAAACGAACAAGCGGGGATATGGAGGAGCGGGGATATGGGGGGATTCCCTTGGCGCCATTTCCCATATCAAACTTAGTCAAGGTGCATTTAGGGGGAATCCTCCGTATCCCTGGTTCCCCCTGCATCCCTGCTAGTTGGTTTCCCTAATATGTTGTTGCAACTCATTAAAAATGAACACAAAAGGAAAATCAGGAACTAAGAGACACGCCAAGAAGAGCGAGGTTTAGATATTAGGACCCCATGCCCGCGGCTGATTGACACGGTTCCCCACATTTCCAGCCCCCCCCAAAAAAAACAGGATACCCCTGCTGAATCGTGGAGGTCTTTGGTGGAGGTAGGGCTTCTGGTTCATGGCAGCTGCTCAACAGTTCTGCGTACTTTTCCCGGCCCGAAAATCGGCTCCGCCAGCGAACCTATGCTTTGGATGTTCCCATGCTGATTCGCAGGCCCAGCAAAGAAATGTGGAACTTGCCATCTGTGACACCCCTTGGAGGAGCGACCTTGTTAACTGGCTGGTGCATGACAACCTCTCGTTTGCGTGGTTGCTTGTTGTTTTGTGGTTACATGGACCCAAAAAACGCCAGCTAGAGAACAATTTCTAACTTGGGTCGGGGTGACAGTTCCCGGACTGTATCACAGGGCAGGCTCCAGCATGCTTTGCCTCTTGAACTGTTCCAGTGCACAAAGAAATCTGGGTGTGAAATGAGGCCTGGACAAGTGAACAAATGAGCAACTGGCTGTGTTCATCAAAAAGAATCCGGCATGTATTGCAAAGTGTAGACAGGTCTTTAAGCGGGACTGCCAGTTTTCAACCAAGAGGATATGGTGCCATATATATATATATATGACCATATATATATATAATATATATATATACATGCACATACCACACAACAACATAACAGGACATGTGATAAATAACCCCAATGTTCCCAAACCGCTAGGGCCTCCTTAGGCCTTTTGGCCCCTGCGCATTTTCCGGGGCTCCTTGGCCGGCTGGTATGGCCTGGGGTTTACTTGCTGGTGCGAAAGGCAGGGAACGAGGGAATGAACCTGAAAATTCCCTGAAAGGAAACCATAGGGCAGAGCACCAGCAAGTTTACTATAGGTCCTTAGGTCCTAAACCAAATCTGGATGTTTGTCATCGTGGTCCCCTGAAGCGGTTGGTTTCTTTTTCCCTGTAAACTCCAACCAAAACGCCAAAAGGGGGTCCATTCTGAGAGACTCCCGGTTCGCAACTCTTCTGCCGGGCTCACGTCGGGCATGCCCCGTTTCTTCAGCTCCTCGATGGCCTCGGGTCTGTGCCAAGATTTCCCCCCCGCCCCCCCCGAAGCATGGGGCCCTCCTTTGAAGGGGAGCAAGGGACCTCCATTGCAGGTGCTGGACCTCAAAAAGAGTCGTTTTGAGAACCCAAGAGGACAGCTAATGTCTGTTGGACTGTGACCCACACATGGGATTGAAACCGCAAAAACATGTCAAATCCGGTCGATTCGCCTTGCTTGCAAGCGAATCACTCAAACTGAATCCCCTCTACCTCCTGCTCCTTGGACGGCGGTTTTGGGAGAAACTCGAGGACGGCGAGCAGGCGTGCGCGAGGGTGTGTCAGGGCCACTCGCACCAAACCCGGATCAAGCATGAGAGTTGCCCGTGACCGCCGCACATCAGATTCATCAGCCGCCACGAGGTTGCTGACACATCTGTCGACAGGCCTCAAGTCCTGGACAGTCCCCTTGTAGAAGGCGTCTGGGCTTCTTCTGGGAGCCGCCAAGATGCGCGCCGGGTCATGCCCGTTTGCCCACAGCAAAGTGCACCACATGCCAGTAGCAAACCACATGCTTGACAGGTGGGGTCCCCGATCAGCCATTTGTCGAGTCGTACAGAGAAAATTAAAAAACTCAAAATCTCCGGGAGTCAAATCGATCTGGCAGTCTCAAGGAGCCAGAACTTACCCCAAAGACTTCACAACCCTTCAGCTCCTTAGGATTTTGTTTGTCAAAGAGGGCTGGAAAAATGAACAACTTCCCCATCCCCTCTTCCTCCCGATTCAGAGGTGTCCAACCCCAGTTGGAGAATTGTCCATTTCAAGGGGGCTCCTCCTTTTTAGTGCGGTCATCCGATCAATATGGCATGGACACTATTACTTGGCCCAACTCTGGCGTACACCAGAAATAACATGTTCAGATGTTGCTTCATAGTTGGGGGCACTAGATAAGGCCATAAGCGAATAGGGGGGTTTTGCAGCAGACCTCAGGGATGTCTCTCAACACAAAAACAGGGTCACCTAAAATGAATGGTGTCCTTTTGGTTTCCCTTTGAAGCCTAGGTCCTCCAGTAGAGAGGATAGAATAAGGGTACCCTTTTTTCTGTAGCCTATTGTAGTAGGGGAACCCTCCGCCAAAAAAAGGTAAAAGGGCACTACTGGGGGACCTAGAAGCCATCCAAAGGGGGTGAACATTTTGGCCAACTTCATTTTGGGGTCTGCGCCCCGTGCCTTTCGGGCACGCTGCGCGCGCGCCGGGCGCCCGGCCGCTTCGTAGGCGCCATTGGCCTGGCGACTGGGGTCAAGTCGCTTGGCGTCCGATTTGCTTCGCCAGAAAAAACATAAAAGCTAGGATGTAAGCCACTGATAAGTCCCCAAAGCGGCTCAGCTTCCCTCCAATCCTACTTCTCTGCGTCCCTCCAAAAGGCTTTGGAGGTTAGGGCTGGTTTGCAGCTTGGGAGTGGGTTCCCATTTACCCTCAAGAACCGGTTCAACTCCCCAAACCACCAATCCAAACCACCAATGCTAGCGAGCAACAATCAGTTAGCATCCCCAATAGGCACAGTTAGCACACAAAAACTGAGACTTCGACCAAGACATGGGTCGGAAATCCACAATCAATTGATTGATTGATCCTTTGATACAAACCCATTCCGTTCACTAATTGGGGCCTCTGCTACTCACTTTAAGCCATGTAACCGACTCTCTAATTGGGGCCTCAGTTAACTAACTGGGGCCAGCCATGTAACCGATTCACTGCTACTCACCATGAGCCTCTGTTCCGAGCCTCAGAGCCGGAGACGTTGCCGGAGAAGCCGAAGCACTCGCTATCCTGGCACGCAGTTTGCGCCGTCGAGCGTCGACCCAACAAATCCGACCCTGGACTGCCATTTCCTTATAAATATTGGTCCACTTCTTGCTGTTGTTCTTTCAACATACCCATGTTGAGGTCACGTGTGATCGAGTACTGTCTCCACAAAGCTGTGTAAGATGTCTGAACAGCAATGGTACAAATTAACCCACACATCTGATCGGTGGAGAGACACGCGACCAGATTGAACAGGCACTTGCGGTAGCATTCGCCAACTTGAAAGAGAGAGGACGGAAGTGTTTCAACCACAGCTGAAAGCTTTGGGGTGTCTGCCTAAAAAAAACCTGGTGTGGTTTGGAGCAGCTTTCAGGGAGGGTTCCGGAGTTCGGGGCTGGGGATACCACCTGACCTGGGCTTACCAGCGGCCCGAAGGGTCAAGTCCAGAAGGTTAAGGGACCCTTGCCGAGGTTTTGGGCCCCCCACGAATAACTGTCATTTACCCAAGTGCCAGCAAGAAACTATCATTGCGAGAATAGTTGGTTAACTCCACTGATGCTGCGCAATTATGACCAATTCACCGTGTCAGGTTTTTGGCTAACTGGGATTGTTGTGTTGGCTAACATACTCGTTGTTGATTAAGACACCTACTTAAAATCAACGAATAGTCGTAAGCAATCCAGTCCCAGTGTCGAAAATCCAAATATGTGCATCGTTCACTAATATAGGGGGGAGGGTCCAAGCAAGTGTCCATTGGAGGGTCCCGAACCCAGCCAAAGGGAAACATCATTGCCACAGAAGAAGTGGAACGCCTAACTACCCCAGCTTTTGCCAACCAAAGATAGTGTGCTTGATTCTGGCCCATAGGGCGGCCATATGTGTGCGTGTGTGTTTAGGGGCATTCCTTTTGGTTTCCTCTGAACCAACCAGAGGAAAAGGGTACCCTCAAACACAAACCAACCATATTTAGTCAGACTTGAAAGGATAAATCATGTCAAACAGGACCCAGTTGTATCACAACAGTTACGCTTCCCAGGCTCATCGCGGCGCTCAAACTGTAAGCACCATCTCAAAGGAGGAAACCCTGCCGCCGCATCGGATTCCTAGCTTGCAGTGGGATCCCAAACAGCGAAACACAAAAATTGCATCAATGCACAAATAAAGTCAATACAAGGGTTAGAGGCCAACAAGCATTCTAACAAAGCCCAATAAGTGGCCTTAACCCTTGGGAAACTGAAAAGGATGAACAAAGAACCATCCCAGATTCAGGAACATTGATACGACATACATAACATATATATATATATACATAATATATATATATATATACATAATATATATATATATGGTCACCCCCCCCCCCCAGGGCCTACCTTTGCCCTCTTCTAGTTGAAGGTGTCAACTCTACTCTGTGTGCCTCTTTCTTGCAGATGCCTGAAACACTGTAAAATACAGTGTTTTGTTGTTTTTTTACCTTCTATATGACAGCAGATGTCTGATTCTTTGAGGCTTGAAAGGCAGCAAAGCGAAAACGGATTCCGTTTTCAGATTCGAGCCTGGCTTTGATTGAATCACTGGTTTTTACAGTGGTTTTGAGTACACCAGGGAAAAACATTGAACAAATGATGTTTTTGGCAGCTTTGAGCTCTGCAACCTGCACAGACCCAAAAGCACAAAATCTCCTGAAAATGAAAGCTCTGAGACCTGCACATGCCAAACACATCTCCAGACCAAGTTTGGGAGTCTGGGGATATGTGCCCTTTATTTGTTTAGCCACATTTAAGCTAAATCATATTTGGGAATGAGTTACTATTAAAATTTGTTTGCAAAGGCCAAGTGATTTCTTTCCAGAATAAGCTATATTCCAATTCAAGTTGTATTTGGGGATGGATTCTTAATCAAATTATTATGTTCAAAAGCTAATTGAACTCTGTCTGCATTAAAGTATATTTGGATTCTACTGCAATGATATTTTCCTTATTTGGAAAGGTATTCCTGTTCAAATTCTGATCTAATATAGACATTATGGTGAATTATGAATGGTGGTGAACTATGTGCTTACTAAATTCTATTCAATATGCAAATTCAATTCGGATCAAAAATCGTATTTGGAAAGGAATGTGTACTTGGATATGTTGGACTCCAGGCTCCAAAATATGAGGCTTGGAGAATCCAACATTAGACATCTCGAGGATTCTGATCTCCAGATTCTAGGTTTCAGGTGCTTCACCATGGACATTTCAAGGGATTGCAGGTCCAACAAAAAACTGTAAAACAAAGTGTTTCGAAGAAATTGCCCAGATTGTGTTCCCTTGGGCCGAAGATTGTTCGTTTCCCAAAAAACATTTTGCCCCCTTCAACATTCCAATTCAATTCGTGTTGGAGTACTCCAGGCTCCAAAATATGAGGCTTGGAGAATCCAACATTAGACATCTCGAGGATTCTGATCTCCAGATTCTAGGTTTCAGGTGCTTCACCATGGACATTTCAAGGGATTGCAGGTCCAACAAAAAACTGTAAAACAAAGTGTTTCGAAGAAATTGCCCAGATTGTGTTCCCTTGGGCCGAAGATTGTTCGTTTCCCAAAAAACATTTTGCCCCCTTCAACATTCCAATTCAATTCGTGTTGGAGTACTCCAGGCTCCAAATTATGAGGCTTGGAGAATCCAACATTAGACATCTCAAGGATTCTGATCTCCAGATTCTAGGTTTCAGGTGTTTCAAATTGGACATTTGAAGGGATTAGAGATCCAACAAAATGCTGTAAAACAGAGTGTTTTGCAGCAGTTGCTCAGATTGTGTTCCCTTGGACCGAATGGACAGCCTTTGATATAACAGTGCAGCAGTGATGACACACACACAATCATCAACCTTTTAGGACCACATGCCCAAACCACATCAAACAAGGCCTCAAATGAGTGTCCTTTTTTTCCCAAACAACAGTCTCCACTTGCTACGCAATAAGCCTACAGAAGGTTTATAAACTTTCAGGAAAGTTTATAAACCTTATTGAGTGTTTGACGAGTTTCCCGCGTCAAGGTTCATGGTATCGTTGAAGGATGGGGGGGGGGGTTGGTTGGAAGTCTTGGGGGGGAGGGGGGGGGGGGGTGGCTGGAAGTCTTAGCAGTGAGGGGGAGGGGGGGTGGGTGCTGGAAGTCTTAGCAGGGGGGGCGGGGGTGGCTGGAAGTCTTAGCAGTGAGGTGACTACTTTGTAAAGACTTCTCAGTACCCCCCCCCCCCCGTAAAGAGTTCTGACCCCCCCCTGCCCTTGTTGCAGGGAAACCGTCAAACCCTTGACATGGTTTATAAACTGTCTTGAAAGTTTATAAACTCTTTGCTGTTGATACTCAACATGACTTGTCACCCACAAACAAATATGCAGCAACAGCACACTTCTTGCGTATATATGCTCACACCCCCTGTCTTTAAAAATAAGAGGGTTTTGTACATTTGAAGTGGAAAGGTAGGCCCTGGGGGGGGGGGTGAGCATATATATATATATATTATATAATACTATACTCAATCATTTATTATAATATGGTCTTTGGGGTCCCAGGCGCATTGTTTGGCAAATCCAGGCAAGTCCGAGCATCGACAAACGCGCCGTTTAACTGCTTGCGCCTTCTCTCTGCCCATGTCACCATAGTCGGTGTTCAAGTAGGTGTATGCAAGATTGGTCCTGCGAGGCTGGATTGTTCGACCACTTCAAATACCGTGAGATGGCCACACACCCCACCAAAACACAGGCTGGAAGACATGCTCCTGGGACATGGAACTAAAATCATGGCAGTGGCTCGAAAAAGTGGTACCCCACCTCTTGGAAACAAAGACCAAAACCAGCGGAACCCCAGCTCTTTACTTTTGAGCCACACCCATGTCTGGCAAGGCTGGATTCAACCACTTCGATTGCCGTGGAAATGGCCAAGACACAGGCTGGAAGACATGTGGAAAAATGATCCTTTCAGTGATGCCAAATGCGGCACTTCACAAGGGGCCGTCTTCGGTATCACAAGTGGCCCCAAAAGCCCATTTACGATGATCAGGGGCCCTACCACAAGGTCCCCTACTGACAAAGACGCCAAGCAACAGAGGTTAGTAAGCCTTAAGAGGAAATCATTCAAACAAGGTGGGGGTGCCGGGGGTGTTTGTAGGGTCCCTGATATTCCCAACCCCTCGAAAGACTCCCTCAGTTAAGAGGTTCATAAACCGTAAGGCCCAAACTATCCATCCACGTTGTCAGTTTCCTTTAGGAAAATTCACAATTCTGCAGGGGAAGAGCGGTCTCAGAATCGCAGTCGCATGTCCGAGAGGGATTTTGGGTGCCTTCAAGAAGAAGAAAGGTCAACCCCGCCATGCACAGAGGATGCCCCATCTCACGTGCCCAAGTTGGACCTGAAACCAAAAGATTCTGCTTTTAGGACCTTGACCAAATATGGATGAAAACTGGAGAACCAACAGAAAGGTCGACTCGCTTTGGGCGGGTGAGAAGAGGATTCCCCATTGCAAGACCGCTGGGCTTCCGGGCCAGGTGCGAACATCTGGAAGTATCGGACCCCAAGTTCTTTAGCTTTCCAAGGTGCCGGACTTTGCTTGAGGAATTCTCCAAGCCACACCCCCCCAAAACCAAGTTCTTGACCTTGGATGCAACACATCAACCAAATATTTTCAGGTCCTGCTTTAGAGTCAACTGCCATGTAAGTTTGGAGCCCCCCCCTTTAAAACCAAAAAGCAGCCTCCCCATGTTCAACTAGGCATGAAGACTCCAACCTGCAGTCTGAAAGCAGTGCGAGTTACAGTACCCAAAATCAGTTTTTGTTTGACCGTCCCAACTTCTCCGAAGCCAGGTGATCACCTCCTGAATTGGACCTGTTTGAATTCTGCAACAGTTCCTAAACCTAACATGAGGGACTTTAATGAAAAGGAGACGCAACACCTGAACAAAACTCAAGCAACACAGGGGCGATAGTTAGAATGGGGCTTGGGGTACTTTAAAACAAGGGGAATAAGGTGCGTAATGATTTAGCCCGTGTTACCCTTCCGAAGAAAAACCAACATGTTTCATTCAACTTGTAGCTAACAAAAATCTGTGAGGTACTGATGGCTGTGCCCGACGGAGCAGGTTCATGCAACACCGCTCGGGTTGGCGGTGCCTTGTGGGTCGGCCCAAACCTTATGGGGTCGGCCTATATCCTCCCTAATAGAAGGGGCTTCACTAAATCTCACATAGACCAAGAACTTTGAAGTTCAATTGACTCATGTGCATAAGCAATCAGCCAAGCTGCCCTGTGCCGTGCCCCAAAAACTAAAAAGCAATCTGACAATTCTACAAGAGTTCCAAACCCTGAAATGCGAATCGAGTCCACACGTCAAGGATCATGGGAGCTTGTGTGGCCCCCATGCGAGCTCGCAGAAGGGATACCAAACAATGGTAGTCGTAGCAGCAGACCTCCCTCCCGATTGGAAAAAACGAATCAGCGGGGATATGGAAAGGTGGGGAAAACGAAAACTATTCGAACCACAAACCCACTATAGTAGACTTTACTATCAGGCTCGCAAAAATATTCATCCCTGATTCTCCCTTTTCCCGTATCCCTGATTGGTTACTCTTACCCACGGCCCCAGCACACAGAAAATCAGACGTTCAGATTTTGTTTCATATGTAGTCTACCCTGAAACCCAACCCTCTCCCCTCCCCTCCCCTCGCGCAGACCGCGGTCCCGGTGGCGCCCAAAATGATCAGATCTTGATACTGCCCCGGCTTCCTGGGCTCGTGCGAGCGCTTTATGGGAAGCATTTCGATAACTCAGAAGCTAACAGGGTTGATCTGCTTTGACCCAATCGTCACAAGGGCAGCAAGCGAGTGAAAAGGAACGACAAAAGAAAGCCAACACCAATTGCTTGCCTTTTTGAAACATTCATTGTTTTGAGGCTCGAAGCCACCATACGTAAATCTCGAGCAGCGCCAACGGTTTGAGGAGGAAAAAACCGCATTGGGGGGGCACTGCAATGTGGCAACAGGTGAGGGGACGTCAGGCCAACACAACCCAGGCGCCAGCCCAGGTTGCTGCGAGCATGTGGCTAAGTCTCAAAGTGAGAAACAAGGAAATGCTTTACTTCCTCAAAGAAATTGCTTATACCTCCCAATTTCGATGGCTGGTTGATTCTCCATGCGCCCCCCTGCCCCAACAAAGAGGATAAACAGGGCGTGACCGCACGCAAGACCCTTCGACTGTGGATTCTTTTCAGTTTTACCGACCCTACCAAGCCTTATCCCGCGGAAACCTCCGCTAGCTCTTTTGCGATCCGTCCAAAAACAAGCCCACTGCGACCAATGCGACCCCAGCGAGAATCCATCACTTGACAAAAATAGGACTTGTCGCAGAGGCTACATATGGTTTCCTGTAGCCCCCAGAAAAAACACAACGTGCAAGGTCTGTCCTCAGTTGGCCAACAAAAGTCATGTATAGATGCAGGTGGCATCTTCTCGAGATGGGGGAACCCCCAAAGTGGGTTTTCCCGTTTGGTTTCCTTTAGCACATCCCAAAAGGGCACCCTCGAAAAAGACAATCCAGTCTAGTCAAGAGAACTACCCGAACCGCCGTCAAGGATGAACAGGCCATGTTGTCGCACCTATTTGTGGTTGGAACTGCCCCTTTGCGAACCATCTGCCTCTTCGGTTTGGGTTGTGGCTCAACCAACTGTTTTGCCTTCTAATAGCCCTCCCCCCCCGCCCAAACAAATGCAGAAAACTCCCATTGTTTTCCCTTTGAACCCACAAAAAGTGGTTTGCCCTCAAGCAAACAACACCACACACCGGCGTTGTGGGGTGATCTTTTTCACCCAGGATGTCCACTACCATCTCCCCATCACATGGATCTCTATGGCCACAAACGATTGCTATAACTGACCTTCTTTTTCTGCTCACCTGAGTCGATCAAAAACTGGGCACTAAAGTGGTCTAAAACCCGATCCGCACCTTTTTTGTTGGTTGGGACTGTCCCGTAGCCTTCATGCCCCGTGTTTTGATTGTGGCTCGCGTCTCGTTTTGATCAAGATGGCCAACTGGGTGCTCACTTTTCTATCGCCGCTACTTGCCGCCGTTTGAACCAGCGCCGGCCGCTGACCGCCTGCTAAACCCTGTTGCCTGGCTGGGCTGGCCTTTTGGCAGTTTCCCGGTTTGGCAACAAACAAATTGGTGGCCTCGGCAAACAAAATGTGCTGCTTCGCAATTATCTTTGCTGGCACGATTCGCGTAGGAAAATACAGGCTCATTTTGAGGGATTCAACTATGGGTCCAACTTCGTTGTCCAAAATAGGAGGCCCGTCTGTCTTAGGAAGGCTTTGGGCTCTTTTGTGTATTCCCCCTTAAGAGTTGAACGTCAACACGGCTCCCTCTTAAACCAAAACAATAAATTTCAGGGGGAGATCTGGAAAAGAAGCTCTTTTGTGCTCCAAAATAGGTCCATGTGTCCAAGGATAAAATTATCAATTGATACTAATAGTGCATTTCGTCCACCCCAAACCCAATAAACCCACATCTGGGGTACACAGAAAATTAATGTCAGATGATGCTCCATGTTTAGTCTTTCCTAAATATAAACACATTTGCTGGATGGCCACATCATTGTAAAGAATGGGGGGAGGTCCCAGTCTTCTTGGTTTGGTTTGTGGGTGAATGCCAGAAACAGGGGGTCCATTGGGGGTCAAAAAGGTCAACCCTGGCGGCATCGATTCTCTCACCATGCAGTGGCACGGCAATCACGGCACGCCATCACTCCTGACAGGAGGGACATGGGAGTCAAAATAAACACGGTAGATCATCAACAGGGCGCTTATCCGCACCTATGTATGATTGGGAGTATCCCTTAAGAGCCTAAATCTACCCGGTTTTGATTGTCGCTCAGATATTTCCCTATGACTTCCCTCTAGACCATCATTCTGAGAAGCCCCCCAACCCCCTCGGTCAGAAGAGAAGGTTCTAGGAAGCTTTCCTGCTCTGTTTGGTTGCAACTAGGGTCATCAAGCCACTGAATCCCAGTTAATTAGGAGGTTCTATCCCGACTTGTAACCAAACAAAGGCAGACCTTTCTTACTCAGCTTTCACTTGCACTAGTTCGAAGCCACCATGAGCAGTTCCGAAAGGGGAAGGATCAACTCAACGTCGGTCGCCCATGCAAGTATTAAACAACACACACACACACATGCTGAACAACCAGCTAAAACACCTCCGTGACTGAACATCAATGGACCTCCGCAGCCTGCCTCCTCCATCTGCTGCTCTGTACTCAGGGGAATGTGCTCCGTAAGCAAGTAGTCAGGCCAGCGAACCTTCGCAGCGTCCTTCTTGTATAAGTGGATCCTCGGCGAAATTACGTCGCTGAGAAGGATAATGATCAAGCAAACAAGGCACCGAATGACATTAGTGAGTGGTGAAAAGGAAGGCGGGGCACATCCTTAAGTCTCTCTCTCTCTCTATATGTATATATATACGCATGTTAAACAATAGGTACATGCAATCATGTATTCCAAACAAGCACTCCTTGCTTCACTAAGAGTCACAAGCGCAAAGCGCAACTGTTTCCTCGCTCTTGAGATCCCTCCACCCTGCTGTGGATTCCCCAAACCACTTGTAATGTTCAACAAATGGGCGTGTCTTTTTGTAGCGGACCCCCAGGTGCCTTGCCTTTTGTTTTTCCTTGAAACCACCAAAACAGCGTAACGTACCCTCACAAACAGACACCCCCAAATGTGTGGATGGAAGCTTGGGGACGCTCCATCTGGGATTTCCAAGTGAAGGACCAAGGGGTTCGCTGGAAATAACGCCAAGCGAGTTCCGCATTCTTCCCGCACGAGGCATACCCCACAAGGCCACAAACAGAAAGGTCCAACTGTCTTCCTGCGAGAGGCTTTGATTCATGTCCTTGAACAATGTCTGCTGTCATCCGCCCAGGCGAAGACCAATATTGTGTGGCCTTTACGGAAGATCCATTGTTTTTGAGGCCTTTTCACAGTGGGTTTGTCTTGATGGGAACTCCTTCAGTTATTTCCCTTTGCCTTGTCAAAAGTTCCGAAATGGTCCCGGGGTTCCGAAATAAACGCCACAGCCTGGTTGGACTTTCGAAGGGTTGGCCAGAAGGAACCAAAAACTGATTGGGGGTCCATAGTTCATAAGAGAAACCAACCCTCCTGGCAAACATGGATCTGAGGGTTTTTGTATTCCACCCTGGGATTACACCCTTGGGAAATGACCTAGAATACGGCTAAATCGGGTCAATATGGGTCAATACCCAGTGGTTGTATTCCGAGGGTGTAATAAAAAGAAGAAGAAACACAACTTAGAATGGAGGTGTACGTTCCGCTTTTGGGAGGGTATCTCTTTAGGTTCAGGGGCACGTGCTCTGAAATTGCTAGCACGAGAACAGACAAATGGTTGACCAGAGGAAACGGTTGAACCACTTTCATCCGTGTTCTGCTACTTCCTGAGTGGATTGGCCAAACAAACACCCTCTTGTTGTTGTCTGCCACTAAAGTGGTCTTCCCGGGAGGTGACAAAAGTCTAGAAACTCAGGAAGTGTCTCCCTTGAGGCTGGTTAACTTTCAACTTGGCCCGACTTTGGGTTACACCAAAGGCCATACTCTCAGATCCTGCTTCAGACTTCATATGTTGGTCCCAAAACAAAAACCGAAAAAGATCCTAGTTGAGGGCACCCTTCTTCTAAAGCGTCCCCCCCCCCCGGCCCAAAAAAAATGAAGAGAAGCTAAACCAAAACAGGAAAACACACACGCCCCACTGAGTGTGCTCGGGTTGAAACCAACAGGGTTCCCTATGTCAAAGCAATGAGCAAACAAACAAACGGAAGGTTTCATGCACCAGCCAGCTAGGGGCTGAATCCAAGGTCTTGCTTGACTCCCTTTTAAAGCTATTCCCTACAGCAAAGCTCCCTATACTTTCTCTGGGGTGGTTGAAACATCCTCCCTTTGGGGCTGATTTCAGGTGAGTTTCCGCTTGCAGAATTGATCACCAATCCCTGCTCGTGTGCGATCCGTCCAATCAAAAACCAGCGCCAGTTTGCGACATACAAAAAGGGACACCCGAGTCATAATCAAGACCCGGTACTAAACGTACTAAAATGGTCGACCCAGAACCAGGCAAAGAACTAAGAAGGCGGCCGCAGCTACTTGTGGTTGGTCCTTTACTCAGCTTCATCTACCCGGGTTTTGATTGTGGCTCAGTTGACATACAAAAACGGACACGGGAAATGGAGCAGCTTCACCTCTGACCTGCGGTCGAAGCGCAGCAGCCACAGCTTGGCCTGGGGGTCCTCCGCGATCTCCTCCTCTCGGTTCAGATCCTCAGGATGGATTTCGAGGGTTTCTTGCAGATGTGCTTGTAGTAAGCAATGCTACTTTTATTTGTTTTGAAGAAATATCTTCAGAGATTATTAAAAGCATGTTTTTTTTGTGAGTGATAGTGTGCTTAAACCACACCAGCTTCGCTAACTTTGAGGCTCGGAAAGGAGAATGCTTGAACTGGGTTGTTCCAAGCCCTGAGCAAAAGGTCGATCACCTGTTGTCAGCTAAATTCGGCAAAGCCGCGTGTTTCCAACATGTCGAAGGGGCCTTTTGGTCACGCTGACCAGCCGTGTAAACAATTTGTTGGCCAAAAAGTTCAACCCAACAACTCAGATTAAAAACCTTCTACTTGATAGTTGTCGAGGGCACAAAATGTGCCCAACGGTCCCACATGTTGGGCGAGGGCATG